TGTGTAGAGATGTATAGATCTGTATTGATAGATGTCTTGGAGAGAGAGAGAGATCTATATTTTATATAGATTTCATAGACATTAGGGCTGGAAGGGACCTCAGAAGATCATCGAGTCCAGCCCCCTGCCCAAAGGGCAGGAAGTCAGCTGGGGTCATAGGATATAGATCTATAGTGATATAGATCGATAGATAGATTTATTTTTAAAGGTAGCAATTTCACTGGTTATTAGGTTGTTAATAAAAATATATATATTAAAATAATTTTGTTGTAGTTCCTTGTATTGGATTGTTTTGTACATTTTGATGTCTGCTTTTGTTGATGAAGCATTCTTGATTTTTCTCATGCTGGAGGTGTGGGATGGAGAAAATGTCAGTGGTAGGATGGCCTCAAGTTCTTGTTTTTTTGCCATGATGGCTTTTTCCAGGCTTAAAAAAGTAGGATGAAGTCAATCTGAATAAATGGCCTGGCAGCATCTCTTCCCTTGCTGAAACGCCTTGCTTTCTTTGTTCTTCACTTGCACTTTTGTCTGAGAGGTGAAAATTTCTATTTAACTTGTTGCTGGTATGTGGTCAGCTGTCCTAACGACCAGTGAAATATCTGCCTTCAAAACCAGTGAAATCAAAGGCACTTACTAGAGCTACCAGAAAAACAGAGGTCCCCCTGGTGATTTTAACAGGTATAGCTGTAATGAATCTGCAAAGGAATACTGTCTGCATCGATTAAACTTCAAGATGTCTCTGCACCGAATAACTGCTTGTTACACACTGCGGTCAAAAGAAGTATCCATATAATTCTCTAGAAGACTAAAATTGGGTAGTGCCACTTTACCATAACCAAGCTGAGACACCATTTAACGTGTTTAAAGGCTTTCATAAACCAGTCTGTAATTCCAGGTATTGGTACTTAGCATTGCATTTTTGTGGTTTAGGGTTGCAAGAACTGTAAGCCAGATACAAAAAACCCACCCGCTGTCTTTGGCACTGGAGTACCTGCTGGAAAATGCATGAGTGTTTTTATGGATAAGTGACTTGGGTTTAGTGAATTGGAGAGCCATCGTTCTGTTTTTATTGCTGTGTGGTATAAACTCATTTTCCTGGTGTATTAGTCTGGCATTTGGTGCAAGTGTTGTTGTGGGAAATGGTGCCATTGGAAACCTAAGTGTGTCATTACTAATCATGGTAAGGTAAACTGGTTGACCTGTCCTCTTTTTTTGAGATGTTGCTGGGAAATGGGAAGGGAGGGTGGGTTTCCACCCCTCTCAAGTCCCTCTTGAATTTATAACTTCATCCTGGCAAAGCCCAAGTTCTGTTTCATGGTTACATCTTGAGTTCTTTAAACAAGTTTTTCATCCTGTGTCTCCACCCACCTAAACTTCAAACACTTCATAAAGCTTTGGATCGCTCTTAGCTTAAAATATTTTCTTTTATATTCACACATATAAAGTAGGTCAGTTTGGTATGTGACTGCCTTTTTGTGTGCGTGTTAAAAGGTGTTTTCCAGGCGGTCTGTGGTTGAAGAGTCATGGGTGTAAATCCTGTGCATCTGACTGTGACATTCAAACTGGAAGCAACTTCCCATGAAAAATGACATGTTACTCTGAATTTTCTGGGGAGGGAATTATTGATGCTATTGGACCCGCTGCTTCCTAAGTAACTCCAGGGATCAAACTCTTACGTGTAGTAAATGTTTCCAGAAACCCAAGTCTTGGAGCAGCCGTTCCAAAAGTCATTACTGAACATTGGTTGCCCTCCGAATCCTCCACAATGCTGGGATGTGCGTCACTGGCTCAGGCCTTTTGATCTCCAGTACGGGGAAGTGGTTGGCCAATGCAACCAATGGGCTGTTTTTTTTAATTTTGTTTTTATTGTTGTATTGCTAATTTGCACTGCTCTAAAGCCAGCTGCAGTCCGGTGAGATTCCACCCCTTCAACAGAGCAAAGCCGAGTTCCCTGCTGTTAATGGTTTGTTTGTGTTTTGGGGTTTTTTTTAAAGATGTGTCTCCTTTGGGAGGTTTGAGGGAGGCACCAAATTTGCATAAGGATGTAGGAATGTTCAGACTGAATGGGACCCGATGTCCAACTAATCAGGAAACTAGCCAACAAAAGCCAGTAGTAGATGCTTTGGGGAAGATGCAAGACATTCAGCACGTCTCGAAGGCGACTGCATTCAATTGTGTGCATTGTTATTAGGTCTCAACCTGGCTAAGCTGGCTCTGACCATGGAACTTTATTGAAATAGCATGTTAGTATTTAAAACAATATTAATACTATATTTGATTCATTAAATATACAAAGGCTAGTTAAAGTGTTTCCATGTGTGTTCTGTTAGTTCTGGCAGGAGGTTCTTCAGATGGTTTTATGTGGTTTCAGACAACATTTTAGCACATTCTTAAAATACCCACAAAAGCCTTTATGTAAAATCTCATAAATGTGAACCGCATAAAAATACATATATATTTTTTCCTGTTTCATGTCGTTGGGATCAAAGTACAGTAGGTAATAATACATTTCCAAGAAACTTGTTGTAGCTCCTCTCTTAATTAACGTTTCATGCTCGTAAAATGTGTAATGGGGAAACTGTCTGTGTGCCCCACAGTATTCTCATGGACTGCCTGCTCTGTTTTGAGGGGTTTTTGTACCACACTTGTTATGAAGGTAGAGGGTTGTGCTTATTCCCTAACCTTTGAGCCCTGCTGCCCTCTTCTACAAAGAAGTGTCAGTCAGGTTGGAACTTGTGCCTTCTGATCAGTGCAAAAGTGAGCCTGCTCTTGAACACGGTAGAAGGTTTCTGTAACCCAGCACTATGCTGGCTTATGCCTGCCAAGGCTTTTCGTTTCTAGCAGGGGCAATATCAGGGTAATATCACCAGATAATGAAATGCCGTGGACAGAGCTATGCCTGTTTGCTACTAAATGCCAAGTCTGTGCTCGCTGGTGAATAGTGATGGGCGCCTGTTAGAAAAGAAACGCTGCTGTTGTGCAGTTACGACCAAGCTCCCTGGTTTCAGCATTCTTCGGCAAAGTGGTGCATAAGTGTAGATTTGGGCAGGGTTCGTTGCTGCTTGTTCAGAAGAAAAGCAGCTGTGGGCTGCATGGTGCAGATAGGTTTGCTTGGATCTCATGGCATTTCTTTCTAATAAATTCTCTTTCCATACTCGTGTGTGGCACTTGAGGTCCCATTAGATCCTCCCTTTTCTAAGAGTGCTTTCCCTTTTAGAATTCTCCCTATGTTTTAATCCTATATCCAAAATCTGCCTTGCGTAGCACCTTGAGTGCAGTTGACAAATACCCGTTCTCACACATTACTCATAGATCCGTGTTTTCCTTTTCTGCTGAGGGTGAGCAGTACGAAACCATTTGTTAATGAGTGCTCTGCTCAAAAGGTGTTATATTGAGGGTGAAAAACTGTAAGCTGCAAGAGGTTTTCTTTCTCTGCCTACTGAGAGCTGTAGCCCAAACAGCCTCTTCACTTACCTTTTTGCAGCTGTGGGCTGGAACGGATCCAGAGGTGAGTGAACGGGCCCTGGGACCCACAGCGCAGTGAGCAGTCCCATGGCTGAAGCCCCACGTCTGCAGGGTGCTGACCTCTGTCCTAGCCTGCCTGCACTTTATGCTTTTGGTTTCTTCCAGACACACATTTTTCAGCTATTATGTGCATTCACAAGTGAATGGCGTGAGCATAAGAGTTCTCTGTCTCAAATAGAATTCAACAGCTACGTAAATCCTTGTCTTCTAGCACTTTTGGCCACTGCACCTGTAACAAAAAAGTAGCCTTAAAATCCAACTGTTTTTGATTACGAACAATCAGGAGTTTGGAACGATTGTGTGCACCACTACTCATGACTAAGAGATGGCGAACGGAGATGTTTGTCAAGCAACGTAGCAAAAAAAACCCAAAACCCCTGATTGAATTTATATTTTGTCATCTGAATTGGTAAGATAAGACCTACAATGTGGGCTAAATTATTGAAACTCAGAGAGACAGACATGCCTATACAAAATTTAGAGGAACTGTGATAACTTCTGTGTTATCCCAGAGAAGTGAGGCTTTGTGTGTTTTGTTAGGTTGGGGGAGAATAGTCTTTTTAGGTCATCTGCTTCAAGAGAGAGATTCATTACAGCTCCTTGCTTGGCTGGAGGGTGGGGTAGAGGGGAAATCTGAGTTACCTTGTTGCAATGCTTATTGCTGGTAGCTTCAGTCAACTAAAAGTTAAAAAGTTCATCTTACACTTCCCATCCTCCAAGCTTACAGGTGAGAATCAGTGATTCATCTACCATGTGCATGACTGACCCAATACAGAAGATGTAAAGAAAGCAGAGGGGGGGAGTTCTACAGAAATACTAGTTTTGACAGTTTTGCAAAAATTTTTCTTTTGACCATCAAAGAGAAGAGTGTCAGCATTTTTAATTTGCTCCTTGTTGCATACCAACTTGCAAGCACATTCCCAGTAGACTGACCCATTTAGATCTAGTCAGTAGTCCTTTATTTTCAAAAACCATTGGTTTCAATTAAACTCTGATTGGAATAAATCAAACAGTCAGCTTTCTTCACACTGCAGCATAAAGCCACTTTCTTGCTCCCTTTTGTCTTAATTAGCAAACTCCTTGCTATAAAGAACATCCGGACTCCCAGTACAGAGGCAAGGAAAAACTAAGCTGTAAAGTTCAGCTTTACTTTCAGCTTAGTTTTGTAATTTGCTCTTTGAACAGCTGTTCTAGTTAGTTGGAATCAGAAGAATTGTTTTGCTCAGGTAGTGTAGAAATCTGTAACTATAGCTGTTTATTATCAACTAATGTAAAGTTTTCATTCTCCTTGAGAGAAATGTATGATCGCATTTTATTAGAACAAATGTGTATTGTAAAATGATTTGAATTGTTAAGGCCCTGGGTATCGTGGATGCCCTCAAGCAGTCTTTTTGAAATTTGCCCTGTGTGTGTGTGTGTCCATCCTGAGTCTCTCTGGCTTCAGTCTTCCTCAATTTTTAACATTCTTCCTGCAGGTATTTTGAAGGTGGAGTCTCCTCTGTCTACCTCTGGGATCTGGATCATGGCTTTGCTGGTGTGATCCTCATTAAGAAAGCTGGAGACGGATCAAAGAAGATTAAGGGATGCTGGGATTCCATCCATGTGGTGGAAGTTCAGGTAATGCCTCTAGGGCAGCTGATACTCTTAAATGAAAACAAAACCCAGTTAATTCCAGACAGTTAACAAGCACAGGTGCTCAGCTGAACAATGCAATATTGTATTGGGCCTGTAAACCTCTTTCTCTTGTTAATTTTTGAAAAATCCCCTGAAGCAATCTGGAGACAGATAAGTCAGGGCTCTAATCAGAAGGATTCCAGAAGGCTTGAGAATATGTTCATTTATGTGCATCTGACCGCACGTGTGTGTGGTGGGTTTTTTTTACAAGTTTGCAGATAAATATCACTAATTCAGTAGTAAAAATGGAACACACAGGGGGAGGAGGGGATTAAACTGCTCTAACCAGATCAGTTTTTTAGAAAAATGGTGTGTGTAACCTCTTTAAAATGTTTGCTTTTGTGCCACTTTGGTTATACTTTTCCATCTTGCTTTTGCTGGCAGGCCCTCCCTGGGTGGCTACCGATTAGTTTTTCAGTTTTAACTTCTCTCTGCACCTTCTCTCCCCCCACCACCTCAGGAGAAGTCCAGTGGTCGTACTGCTCATTACAAGTTGACCTCTACAGTGATGCTGTGGCTGCAGACTAACAAAACTGGTTCCGGTACCATGAACCTTGGAGGGAGCCTTACTAGACAGGTACTACAGTTTGCTAGCACTAGCCTATCTTACACACAAGAAGCCTTTCTATTTGTGCTCTTGTGGTAGCACCTAAAAGGCTTGGTCTGGGTTAGAATCTCTGATGTGCACCATGTTATATAAACACTTACATTTTTGCAGGTGTATTTGCAGTCCAGTAGAAAAAGGAATGCTGTAATGATTGCCAGGTAGTTATTGAGCACTTTGGCTGATGGCAGACGTTCTCTCAATAAAGCCCCCGAAAGAAAAAGCTTCATTCAGTAGGAATTTAGATTTCCATGCAAGTCTCATAATGCTTCATTTGGGTGGCGGAACCTGAACTCCTATGACCCTCTCCTCCTCCTATGATGTCCAGAAAGTATGTGTACATTCAATCTAATCTATTTGCAGTGCCATTTGCAGACTTGCTCACTTTACTGCTGTCTGCTGTACAAAATCAGGTTGTGGCATAGGAAAAAATAGGGTTGGAAGAGACCTCAGGAGGTCACATCTAGTCCAGCCTCCTGCTCAAAGTAGGACCATCCCCAACTAGTTCATCCCAGCCAAGGCTCTGTCTAGCCAGGTCTTGAAAACCTCCAAGGATGGAGACTCTACTACCTCTCTGGGGAACCTGTTCCAATGCTTTACTACCGTCCTAGTGAGAGAGCATTTCCTGATATCTAACCTAAACTTCCCTTGCTGCAATTTGAGACCTTTGCTCCTTGTTCTGTCAAAAAGATGTCTTCCATGCTTCTCCATCCCAAGCTGCGCAGCCGTATGAGAGCGATCCTGTGTTTTGTGTTCATGACTGGATTCTTGTCTTGACTGCTTTCTGACAACATGTAACTTTTCACTTGGTCGCTACTGCATTAGACTTCTGTTAAGGCTGGTTCTTCACAGCAGCTTGTTTAACCTTTGCAGAGGAAGTCAGAGCAATTAATCTGTTGCTAGGTAGGATACCGTCATACAGTGTTGGTGCCTAAGACTATTCTTACAAGCATTAGTAAGAATAGATGAGATATTGACGGCAACCAGCGTAGCTTCGCTGTGAGCACCTCCAGGATGGACATTGTCTGTAATAAAATGAACAATGCAGACTCTAAAATGAATGATACAGTTCATATTTCTGTGAGAGTTTGTGCCAGGCAAGGGAATAAAGGGGCATGTGTCCACAGAGCAGAATGGAACCCCTGCAGTGCCACCACAGCAATGAGAATTTGCCATAGACCTGGATTTTTTTTTCCTTCTGCTTGGTTTGATCTACACAAACTGGGCAGAAAGCAAAAATATGCTTTTGAAAATGGTTGTTGGGTCTTGCATGCCATTTTTAAGTGTTTTACAGCAACTGGGCCGGGGTTATGGTGACCCAGACAAATATTTAATCGCAAGTTGTCCTAGTACTTTAAATCATAGCTGTGAAATGGAGGCCAAGGTTTTGACTCTAGTCGTGGCCTTGCAGTGCATGACAGCCATGCCAAGGAAAACAATAGCCTGTTGAGAATGGTTGTCCTCTGTACACCTTGGCCAGCACTGTGAGGCCTTGTTTAGTTTGACTTTCACTCTCTGGGCTTTAACGAGGAAATTCATGCTTCTGTCATCATTTTAACAGCAGATCATTTAATTCATGTGCAATGCATTAAAGCAGGGGCCTGCTTCCAATGTAAGTAACCATAAAAAAAAAAAAAAGCCCTGGGGTAATGATGCACTACCTCTGCACAAACAATGGAAACTTGAAGTAGAGAATTTAGCTTCAGGCCTGAGACTTTCAGCTTTGCAAGTACTCTAGTAATCTTCCTAGTGGTTTGTCAGAATCCAGTGCAAAAGGTTAATTGGTCTTCAGGCTTGCTTGAAGAACTGATATGCCACGTGTGCAGGGTTGATCTACAGAAAAATGCATATGTTTGCTTTTTGATCCGTTTCTTTTGTAGATCATTTTTTTTGTTCCAGAGACTTGGCCTTTATTTTACCTCAAGGCGGCTGGGATAGTCTTGACTAAAAGTCTTCATCCTTCGCACCATATGCCAAAAATTTGCCTTGTGAGCTGGAGTACTGTGCTCTGTTCTGGGCACAGCATTATAAGAAGGATATAAAGAAACTGGAGGGGATCCAGAGACGAATGATGATGAAGATTTTGAAAGGGTTAGAAAGGGAAAGCTTGAATGAATTTAAGAATGTTTTAATGTAGACAAAAGGCAATTTAAAGAGGTGACCCTTGGGGGTTCATTCCAGCTCTGATGTAGAACAGCATTTTCTTTTGATAGGTTTGTTGCACAGTCTGCCATAAAAGTCACCATTAAAAAAGTGTTTTAGTCCTCCTTGAATTGGGTTTTACCATTTGGCATCTTTATGATACGTGAATGCATTTTAGTGTCATTGCTCACAGTTTTGAAAACCGTTTTTCTGTGGACAAACCTCAGCTGTTTTGAACATCCTTCCATTTAAGATATTGCAGTGTCGATGACTACCTTCCAGCTGGAAAGAGGAATGGCAGATGTGTCCCTGTTTCACTGGGGCCTTTTGAATTGTTCACAAACTTCACAGTCTCTCAGTTTGTTGCATGGAGAGGAGTTTTCAGAGCCTCAGAAGGGAGTTGTGTGGAGAGCCATTGTTTTGAAACAAGTTCGACTTTCCATTCTGCAAATAGGGTACCCTTCAGTGGTAACTGAAATAATTAGCATGGCTAGAAACAGGAGCAGAAGAACCTCTCATGTAATGCCTCCTGATTTACCAGCTCTGGCTGCTACAAATTCTAGACAGGTCTCCACCTTAAGTACTGTGCTGTGCAGAGCATGTGCAACTCAGAATGGAAATGGACCGCTCCAAGAGGTTTCTGGCTGAGATGCAGGACCTCCACTTGATTCAGGAGGTGCACAGTCCCACCAGAGGAGATGCCCTGTTGGACCTGGTCCTGGCCGCAGGTGACGACCTGGTAAGGGGCCTCCAGGTTCTTGACCACCTGGGCAATAGTGATCATCGCTTGCTGGAATTCGCCATCCAGCGTAGGGTGTCAAGGGCCCGCAGCAAGGCGGTAGCCCTAGACTTCAGGAGGGCCAACTTTGTTGAGATGAGGAGATTAGTGGGAGAGGCACTGGGGTCCTTGAGGGCAGAGGAACTC